GCACCTGTACATACATGTACACACCTGTGCACACCTGCGTGCGCACACCTGTACATACATGCATATACCTGTGCACATCTGTACATACATGTACATACCTGTGCGCACCTGCGCGCGCGCACCTGGACTCACCTGCACGCACCTGTGCATACCTGTACACACCTGTACACACCTGTGCACACCTGTACATACATGTACACCCCTGTACACACCTGTACACATTTGTACATACATGTGCATACCTGTACACACCTGTACACATCTGTACACATCTGTACACACCTGTACACACCTGTACACATTTGTACATACCTGTACACACCTGTACACACCTGTACACACCTGAACATACATGTGCATACCTGTACACACCTGTACACACCTGTACACACCTGTACACACCTGCACACACCTGTACATACATGTACACATCTGTACACACCTGTACACACCTGTCCGGCCCAGGCCCCGCCCCCCGCAGGCCCCGCCCATCCGTGCTCTCGCGAGAGGGGCGGGGCGCCCCGACCGCCGCCGCTCCCGTTCCCATTCCTGTCCCCATTCCCGTCCCCATTCCCATTCCCGGTCCATTCCCGTCCGGTCCCCGCTGCCCCTCGCTGCCATGGCGGGCCCGGCCCCGGGCTGGGCTCCCACCCACGTTCGGGTGACGGTGCTGCGGGCGCGGGGGCTGCGCTCCAAGGCGGCGGCGGGCGGCAGCGACGCGTACGCGGTGATGGCGCTGGGCCGCGACAAATTCCGCACGTCGGTGGCCGAGCGGTGCCGGGGCGAGCCGCTGTGGCGGGAGGAGGCCACGTTCGAGCTGCCGGCCCGGCCCGCCGCTCTGCGCCTCACCGTGCTGCACCGCGCCCTCACCGGAGCCGACAAATTCCTGGGACGGGCCGAGCTGGACCTGGCGGCGCTCAGGGACGACGGCGACCGGCGACACACCAGGTGCGAGCGAGCGGGGACACGGCACGGGGGGCTCTGGGCACCGGGGATGGCGATGTGAGGGCATCCGTGTGCCCCGGGAGCGGGGAGGAGGATGGAGCGGCCCCTCTGTGTCCTGGAGAGACTGGGGACAAGGACGGAGCGGCCACTCCATGTCCCCACGGGAACAGGGGACAAGGATTGAGCGGCCCCTCCGGGTCCTGGAGAGACTGGGGACAAGGATAGAGCGGCCCCTCCGTGCGCCCCGGGAGTGGGGTGAAGGATGGAGCGGCCCCTCCGTGCCCCCCGGGAGTGGGGTGAAGGATGGAGCTGTCCCTCTGGGTCCTACGGGAACAGGAGAGAAGATGGAGCGGCTCCTCCGTATCCTGTAGGGACAGGGGACAAGGATGGAGAGGCCCCTCCGTGTCCCCCGGGAGTGGGGAGGAGGTTTTGGGGGTGCCTCTCATCCCCACAGGGACCAAGGAGCGGTTTGAAGGGGACCTGTGAACCCCACGGAGGTCGGGGAGAGTGATGAGGGGGATCTGTGCCCCGCGGGGTCTGGGGAGGAAGCGGAGGGGGTTCTGTGCACATCCAGGGTGTGAGGTTCTGAGAGGAGCCCCAGTTCCTGTGGGATGTCCCCGTTCCTCCTGGAAACCTCTGTGTGCCGCAGGAATGTGTGGATCTGATGGGAGACCCCTCTGTGTCACCCTGTGCCCAGAGGAATGGGGGATCTTGTTCCTCACAGGGACCCCAAAGCCCCATAAATACCCATGGGGTGACCCTTTTGGCCGGGTCCGTTCTGCTGTGAGTGAACCCCCGGAGCTGGGGACTGTGCTCCCCTGGGTGAGGCTGGGCGGCCCAGAGAAAGCTTTTCCAGCCAGTCCTGCCTGCTCTTTGATTTGATTTTTAAACATTTCCGTGTGAGTGCTGACGCTGTTCAGAGAGAACAGCCAGACTGACCCCCGAAACCTGCTGTCCTTGGAATGCCGCCTTCTCCTTCCAGCAGRGAACAGCCMCAGCCTCCGCCAGCCGCTCATTTATTTTTCTTAATAAACCCTCAGCACATGTCAGGCTGGATAATTCCACGTTCCACGGGCTGACCCCGCTGCTGGGATGTTGCTCTGTGTCACACTCGCTGCTTTGAACACAAACACTGGCRCGGTGAAACCCAGGCGTGGTTCCCGGGAGGGTTTTGCTGGGAGTCAGCAGCCTGGTAATGTCCTGGTGAGTCACCTTCCTCCTCTGGCTCACCTGAGCACCGCCATGGAGCCGTGCTTGTCAAAGTTTAATTAGGCCCGGGTTCATTAAGGCTGTGTCAGACAGTGCCGTGTTTACACTGCAGAGCCCCTTGGTCAGCAGAGCTCGGGGCCGCTGCCTCGGGCCCCTGGGCGCGTTCCTTTGTGTCTGGGAAAAGGAAAATTGAGAGGGAGAAAAGAATGAAAATACAATTTTGGTACTCTGGGGACATTTCTCATGTTTTCAGTTGTTTCCAGCCCTTGATTTCCTGTTTGAAGCCTGTTTTGTTCTGGCTCCGTGCTGATGTGTAGCCATAAAGGACTAGTTTTATTTTGGAAAATAGATGCACATTAAGTGGCAGGTGCTTACTGACATGATAAATGTCATTAATGAGATATTTTTTTGAGGTTTGGGGGTTGTCAGTCCATGATTTCCTTCCCAGGGGTGCTGCRTTCAGCCAGGGCTGAGCTGCCTTTGCTGAACTCGTTGTTTGCCTGTGGCTCCCGGGGCACACGGGATCAATTGTGACACCGTGAGCACAGGATGCTCCTGGAAATCACGGGTTTGGGACAGAAGTGCCCGGTGCTGACTCGTGTTAAAGGCAAACAGGTTGTGATTCCTGTGCTGCAGCCTCAGGGACTGGGCAGAGCCTGAGCTCCTGGTGAAACCCCTTCCTTCCCTTGGTGTCTTCTAACTCCACTCTGAGCATCTGCTTGAGAATTTGTTTAGAACCACAGAAGCACAGATCCACCCCSTGCCCTTGGCTTTCATTAGACCAYTGCTCCAAACCYGGCCTTCAACACTTWRAAGGWTGGAACAACCACAGCTTCTCCAGGGCCTCACCACCCTCAAAGGGGACACTGCTGCATTTCTCTCTGACATACCTGTAGCAGATTCCCAATCCATCTCCTTCAGTTGTYTCCATTAGTTTTGAATTTTCTTTGGAGCAAATTGCCTTTTYCTGTTCTCKTTTGCTGCTTCCAGTGTACCCTAAACCATAACCCTAACCCTAAMCCYWAMYTWAMCCYWACCCTAACTTAACCCTAACCCTAACCCAACTCTAACCCTAACCTAACTCTAACCCTAATTTAACTTAACCCTAAACCCTAACCCTAAACCCTAACCCTAACCTAACCCTAAACCCTAACCCTAACCCAACTCTAACCCTAACCTAACTCTAACCCTAATTTAACTCTAACTTAACCCTAAACCCTAACCCTAAACCCTAACCCTAACCTAACCCTAAACCCTAACCCAACCCAAACCCTAACCCTAACTTAACCCTAACCCTAAACCCTAACCTAACCCTAACCCTAATGCAAATTTAATGGCAGGGCACATTTGCATGCTCTGTTTGCTTCCTTTAATTTCCCATTCCAGCTGCTGAGGAGGAACAAACCCACAGTTTCCAGGCAGTTTTTCCTTTCCTCTGGGTTCTCTGGAGTCGGGAATTCATCAACAAACAAAACCACACTGGTGTGGGGTGCTGATAATCCTSTGTGCTGGCTCCAGGCTGGTTTGGTGTCACTGAGTGGTGGCTGAGGGCATGTTGGGGTTGTGGTTTGGGATGCCCTGGGCACTCAGCACTGTTCTGGAGCTCATTTTGGGGAGGGAGAAGGCTCTGTCTGAGCAATGTCCTTCCTGCTGCGTGCCAGTCACGAGTCTGGAGAGGTGAGTGGAAATCTCCCTGCTCTGTAGGGCTTGGGTTGGCTCTCTGGTGTTGATTAGGGGTTCCTGGGCTTAAGAGGCATTAAGGAGCTGGAATGAAAGGTATGAGGGCGTGGGATGCTGTGCAGCTCTGAGGCTGCTGCGCTTGATCCCACTTCAAAGCCGTGGCCTCTGTCAGTGTCAGGAGGAGAGATAAAAGGGCAGAGAGTGGCTGAGCTGGAATACAGGAATTCCATGTTGTGTTTCTGTTTTTTCTCCTTTTTTTTAACCCTTCCTGATCTGGGTTTTAAACCAAATCTTACTAATAACTTTGTGTTTACGATAAGGAATGTTTTCCTTGGCACCTGGGGCCATGACTATGACGTTGTCATAAGATTAAAGTCTTTCTTTTCCTACACTGTGGGCTGATTTGATTTTTCAACCATAAACACCCTCTGTGTTCTCACTTTCTGGTGGTAAAAGCAATCTCCTCCTTCTGCAGGTGGTACAAGCTTCGCTCCAAACCAGGGAAGAAGGAGAAAGAGAGAGGGGAAATYGAGGTGGATATCCAGTTTATGAGAAGCAACATGACAGCCAGTATGTTTGATCTGTCCATGAAGGACAAGTCCCGCTCTCCCTTTGGGAAGCTCAAAGACAAACTCAAGGGCAAGAGGAGCAGTGGCCTCTCAGACACAGCATCAGCCATTGTTCCCAGCACCTCCCACTCCCCTGCTGACAGTGAGGACGAGGCAGTGGAGAAGGAGAAGAAGAAATCCAAGTTCAAAGCTCTGTTCTCCAAGCCCAGCCTGCAGAAGACATCGCTGTCACAATCCATGTCAGTGCTGCCCACACARCAGCCCAGCACCCACAGGGTTCGGCTTCGGCCCAGTGATTTCCAGTCCCACTGGGATGAGGAGGAGTCTGAGACCTCTCCAACCTCAGAACGTGAGTATTGCACTGCTGAGAGCAAAGCCTTCCTCCAAAGGGYTGTTTACACTTTTCACAGCACTGGTTAAACTCTCTTTTGTGGGCAAATCCATAGAAAGTTCCTCCTAGCACAGAGGCTGTCGGTAGAGTCAGAGAAAAGGTTGTYCTTGCATCTTGAATTTCTTGCCACTTTTTTTTTTTTTTGCAGGGTCCTTTGAAAATGCCCTGGAAGAGAAGCCAGCTCCTTCTCCTCTGTTTAAATCTCGTAAACCAGCCTTTCTGGACAGTAGGCAGCTAACTCAAGGAACCACTACCCACACCAAAAAGGATGGGCTCTCTTTGTTCAGTGGCCTTAAATCCAAAAGTGATCCTGTTTCCAAGTCTAGCCTGTGCATCAATGGCAGTCACGTTTATATGGAAGAGACCACGACGAAGGACAAGACTCCAACCTCCTCCCCCTCTCCTCACAATCTCAGGAGGAAGCAGCTCTTTGCTTCAGAGGAGAACCTGTCCTCCAGGTTCACTAAATTACCTGAAGAAATGGGAAGAACCTCTCCCAGTCAGGCTCCCTCTGGGCCCACATCCTTGGAGACCTTCAAATCCATGACTTTGCCATCATACAAACTGCTCAGCAGTGAGGAGCATCTGGACACCAACCTTCCACCAAGTGTGGAAACCATCAGAGAGACCAAAAAACCTGACCACAAAAAGTCTGCCTTGCTCTCCCTGGTCACTGGGAAAAAGGAAACGGTGAAGACCAGTGATGCTGAGAATATTCCTGACAGGACCCTGCAGAGTGAGGAAAACACAATTCCAGAAGAGAAGAGTGAAGAGGAGGCCAAATGCTCTGAACTGCCAGCAGATTTGGGCAGAGGGGGCTCGTCAGGAGACGCTCAGGGTGTGGAGGATCCCGTCACAAACAAACAGCAGCTCAGCTCTTGTGAGGAGGAACGGAAAGCTGAGAAAGCTGAGAAAGCTGAGAAAGCTGAGAAAGCTGTGCCAGCCAAGACCAAAGCTGTGAAGCCCAGGTGGGTGCCAGCTGCTGGTGGCAGTTGGGTGGGCAGTGCTGGTGGCAGCTGCCACTGGGATGTGTCCTGGGGTACCTGCGGGTTTAACGCTGGCATTGGGTGCTTTGGTAGCAAATAACAACTCCCAAAATCTTTCTCAATATGAAGAAAAGATGGATACAGGGATGCTCCTTCTAAGTGATGCTGCAATAGTGGTTCTCCACCTGTAGGGCTGATTTTCCTGGCTGCATCTCTTGCACAAACTAACTGAGCTGTGTGACTGSCCAGGGTCTGAAATGCCCGTTCTAACACCTCTGCTCTGCTCTTCCYTCCTTGGCTTTGCTCTTCCAAAGGTTGGCATTGGAGCCCTTCTGCTTTTGGCATCGTTCACAGCAGCACAAAGGGATTTTGTGTGGATTTGCACACAAGGCTTTTTCGGAAATTCTGCTCCTTTAGCCTTCATACGCATATATATATATATAAATAATGTTTGGGGTTTTAATATATATATATATATATATATATATATAGGTGTGCCCTACTAATAAGGCTGTGTGTCCCTAACCCTTCATTTTCAGTGATTCTCAAGTTTAAATTTCTTGCCTAGGAAGTGTTTCCTGTACTAATAAACCTGCTTGGGGTGCAAAGAGATGGTGCTTAAAGCAGCAGAAGCAAGCTCTGCAGCAGAAGAGTTCTGCCCTAAGTCCAGTGCTTGGGAAAGGTGCAGTTAAGGATATAAAGAACAGGGGAACCTCTCTCTGAGGTCTTTTGAAAGTACAGTTCAGTGGCAGAGCTGATGGAGGCTGGTGCTAAARCTTGTCTGTTCCTGCCTCGTGTTGCATCTGCGAGTGACATGAGAGTTTTTTGTCCCTTTTTGCAGACTGGGCCTGTCTCCAGAGGAGGATCCCAAAGCCACGCTTCCTACTCTTGCACCTGACCCCCTCCCTGCTTTTCTTTCTGTGCACTGTATCAGCAGTGCAAATAATCCTTTTATTTCTAAAGTGGGGCAGAAWGTCCAAGTGCCAGGCTCTGAAAACATCACTAGTTCTGCCTCCCTCACTTCTCCTGCTGTTGCTGCAGAGCTTTGGAATGGCAAGAACCCCTTTACTGCTGAGTGGGACAGGGCAGCCACAGCCCTGGATCCCGATGGCATCTCCCATTTCCCTTCATCCCCTCATCTTGCAGCCTCTGCTCCCAAAGTGCCTCTTCCTGGGCAGGCCACTGCTCGGGGCAATAATCCTTTTGCTGCTGACTGGGGGCAGGATCCCCAGAGCTCTGACCTGGAGACATCCCAAGCTCTCTCTGGCCCACCCTCACCTTCTGTCCCCTCTGAGTGTCATTTCAATGACAATAATCCCTTCGTGCCCAAGCGTGGGAGGCAGGCAGGGACAGGTTTCCAAGCTGGCACTGGTTCTTCCCTTTCCTCCCTTCCTTGTGGTGAGGACAGTTCCTCTGCTGGACACCCTGGTCACGAGGCTTTGGGGGGCTCTGTGCATGTGGCTTTAACCAGTGGGGTCACAGCTGTGCCAAACCTTCCTGGCACCGTGTCTGACTCTCCCTCTGGCTCTCCTGGGCTGGCTCCAGAGCAGCACTGGGATTCTGCCCAGCTCCAGCCTGAGGATTCTTTGGAAAGCAGCAAGCCAGGCAGTGGGAAATGTGTGTCCCTTGTCCTTGGGGGATCGCAGGGTGTTCCAGCAGGTGCTGTGGGTTCGGGTGGGCAGGAGGGTGCAGAGCAGCACTTGGATTCCAGTGGAAGGTTCTGGATGGGTTCAGGGCCAGCAGGAGAGCGAGCAGTGTTTGGGGGTGAGCTGGGAGCAGGGGGTCACCCATCATCAGAGCAATCTGGGGACAGCACATGGCCCTCCTGGAACAGGGATCCCACTGTGCAGGTCCCTGCTGYAAACACTGAGCCCTGCACCAGGCCTGACAAAGGTTTTGTGTCCCCCTCCAAGTCCTTGGACCAAGTGCCATCCCCCGAGCTCAGGGAGCAGCAGGAGAGCTGTGCTGGAAAGCAGAGGGTGGAATTTGTGCCCAGGTTGGAGCCCCAGGCAGCTCCACTTGCTGRAAATGAGTCRCTGTCTSMRGTCAGAGCAGCCMRKGGAGCCTGCACGGTGCCACCTKGGGAARCTGAGGCAGGGAGGGCTGGCAGCAYRGCCCTGGTGCCACCAAAGCCAGCCCCACGAGTGGCTGTGCTGCTGAAATCCCCACTGATCCCCCAGGCCGAGTCAGGGGSTGATGTTGCTGTTTCAAGTGATGTAAAACCCACGCCAGGGCTGCTGTTAGCGGGTGATGAACCCTCAGCTGCTCATGGCTGCCTCCCTCAAAGCAGCTCCTTGGACACTGTCACTGCTCCAGTKACTGCCAGCAGTAACAGCAGGGACAGGCCTTTCAAAGAGGAAGGTGATGATGATTTATCTGTCAGGCTCACAAATCTCAAATCTGCCATTCTTGTTCCTGGAGATCGGGGTTCCAAACTGGCCGGTCTGCCGGTGATCCTGGAGGGAGGCTCTGATGAAGAGCTCTTGGGGGACTGTCAGGAGAGCTCCGGGGTTGCTGCAGGTGATGAAGATGTCTTAGGGACTGGAGAGCAGCCTGGAGCTTTGACAGCTTTGCATGGAGAGCAGAGAGAGCTCTCTGACAGCTCTGCTGCAGCCCAGGCTGCTCCGGGAGGAGGAGGAGGAGGAGGAGGAGGAGGAGGAAGAGCTATTCCTGGTGCTTGTAAGCCAGACAGTTCACTGCCTCCTGCAGTGGCAGCTGCCAGGGGCTGTGTCCAGGGAGCTGACTCAGGCTCAGGGCTGATGTCTCATTTGGAGAAACAAGAGCTGGAAAGGAGTGCAGGTGTTGAGGAGCGTGCAGAGTGTGACTTCTCTGAGCCTTCTGCTTCCTCTTCCTCCCTGTCCAGTCCTTGCCAGCCCTTCTCTTGCTCTCCTTCCATTCTCTCTGACACCCCGAGTCATAGAGCAGAGTCTCCGAAAAAGCCARCAGCCGAGGGCTTCGCAGATAAAGCAGGAAATTCGGGCAAGAAGAAACTTCTCCAGGCACGGGTTTCACCCTCTGAAACGTTCCCTAAGCAAACCCCCCGGGGTGGTGAAACCGTGTCTGCCAAGCACAGGTGAGAGCATGTGGGGATCMCAGCAGGTACCTTGTGCAGGTGTCAGCTTTGCTTTGCTTTCTGGGTGCACATCTGTCCCTCCAGCTGCTGGTCTGACCTGGGTGGACGGCCCTGAATTCCTCTGCAGCCTGCATTTGGCAGGGCCTGGCTCCTGTTGCCCAGGGCGGGTGTGCTGGTGGCCCCAGAAGGATCTCTGTGGCTCCAGCAGGATCTCTGTGGCCCCAGAAGGATCTCTGTGGCTCCAGAAGGATCTCTGTGGCTGCTGCTGGCTCCAGAAGGATCTCTGTGGCTGCTGGTGGTTCCAGAGGGATTTCTGTGGCTCCAGCAGGATCTCTGTGGCTCCAGCAGGATCTCTGTGGCTCCAGCAGGATCTCTGTGGCTCCAGAAGGATCTCTGTGGCTCCAGAAGCATCTCTGTGGCTGCTGGTGGCCCCAGAAGGATCTCTGTGGCTCCAGAAGGATCTCTCTGGCTCCTGGTGGTTCCAGAAGGATCTCTGTGGCTCCAGAAGCATCTCTGTGGCTCCAGAAGGATCTCTGTGGCTCCAGAAGGATCTCTGTGGCTCCAGAAGGATCTCTGTGGCCCCAGAAGGATCTCTGTGGCCCCAGAAGGATCTCTGTGGCTCCAGCAGGATCTCTGTGGCTCCAGCAGGATCTCTGTGGCTCCAGAAGGATCTCTGTGGCCCCAGAATGATCTCTGTGGCTCCAGCAGGATCTCTGTGGCTCCAGAAGGATCTCTGTGGCTCCTGGGATCCCCAGGCTGCCGAGGGAGCAGCTGCTCACCACAGCTCTTAGGGGAGCCATTAGGGAAAGTGCAGGTGGAATGGAGTCATTTCATTCCAATTGGCTAAATGGAGATTGAGGTGTCAGGCGTGGGACAGTGGTCACCCTGAGAGATGAGGGTGTTTCATTTCCTGCCTGAATGGAGCTCCTCAGAGGGAGCAGGGGGTGATGCTGCTCGGGCTCCTTCTGGAGCTGCAGCTCCTGCAGTGTGGCAGTGGTGCCACAGCCCTCAGGACTCCCCTGTACAGCCCTGCCTGGGGGCTGGGACACCTCTGGGTTAGTATTTGCTGAAACAGAAGTAAAATTCACTCCTTGTGTTAAAATTGGTGATGTAAGTCCAGCTCAGGCAAATAATGACAGCGCTTCTTTGCAGCTTGTGGTGTCAGCTCAGATGGGAAAAGGCCAAACACTCGTCCCAGGATAGCTGAAGTATTTGATTTGTTGTAAGATCACAAATATGTTCTGATTAGGAAAGTCAGGCTGAAATGCCTGAGGGATCAGAGTAGCTGCCCTGTGTTGTCGTGTAGCCCGACCTGGCTTTTCTTCCACGACACACACGGGATGGATTTCCCTTCCTGCTGCTGCTGCTTCATCTCCAGTGCCTTRAGTCAATAAATAGTAGAGAACTGGAAAATACTCACAGAAATCCTGTGCCTTAGAAATACCTTGTCTTCCTGAAGCTGAATCTCTTTTCTCTCAGGAGACAGAGAACGGAGGGAATCTTCCCCAATTTCTTGCTATTTCTGTTTTTAGTCTGAAGATCTGCTGTTACATGTCCTGCCCAAACAGAAACCATTCTTTTCCTGTTGCAGACTCCATCCTGTGAAGCCAATGAATGCCATGGCAAACAAATCTCAGAGTAAGAACCTGAATGTCATCAGCACCATGAACGAAAAGCTGCTGGAGATGAGTGTGAAGGTATGGAGGGAAGTGGCACTTTCACTGCCTAAGCTTTGGTTTGATTGAAGAGTTTGTGTATTCCACATAGTTGGGACATGAACTTTCTTTTGGTCAGCCCCCAAAAGTGAGGACAGTCCTTAAAAGGTGATTTTTTTGCAGACTGATTTATAATAGAGTTGGTGCCTCATGTTTTGTGGAGGAGGTTCTCAGGCACAGCCACTTCCTTGGGGTGGAAAAAGACCTCCAGCCTTGAGGTGTAGCTTCCATGCCACGTTGATCCAAACAGCTCCAAACTGTTTTCCCCTGGGTCAGCAGGGAGAATCCTGGCTCTCTTAATTGTCTTTTAGGGTTTTTTTGGGGAAACAGAGATGTTAGAACCAAAATAACAGCAGTGCTTCCTTCTGGTGTGAAGGGAGAGGGTGTGAGTTCAAGGATTCCAACTGACATGCTGCTGTTTCAAGGAGCTGAAAACTTGGAATGAGATTGTGGTGTTGTGATTGCACCTAAATTGTGTGTGATGCACCACAGGAGCCTGCTGTGCTCACACTCCTACCTGGGCAGTGTTCTGGGAGCTGGAGGGATCAACCTCTGAAGCTGCTTAAGGGTTAAAACCAGGCTTTTCAAAGAAATAGGAGGAATTGGCATAGGCCTGGGTGGGTGTTTCTTACTGTTAAACCTGAMTTTGGCTTTACCAATCTGTTTAAGCAGCTGGTTTAAGCTTTGCCAGGTTTGTTTAAGCACCAGCTGCCATGGTGCTGGTCTGTCTGGGTGTTGTGTTGCTGCTTTGGAATGCTCTGTGTCTGTCCTGACCCTGCCTTCCCTCCCTCCCTCCCCAAGAAATATGATCCTTCCGAGCCTGCCTATGCCTATGCCCAGCTGACACACGATGAGCTGATCCARCTGGTGTTGAAACAGAAGGATACCATTACCAGGAAGGATCTCCAAGTGCGGGAACTGGAGGATTACATCGACAACCTGCTGGTCAGAGTCATGGAAGAAACCCCAAACATCCTCCGTGTTCCCGTGGCTGGGAACAGAAAAGCTGGGAAGATGTGAAGGGTTTCGGGGTGTTGGTGAGCACAGAGTTCCCACCAGAGGAGGGAGAGGAGCTGGTGTGGAGCTGCCCACAGAAAATCACCTTTTTCCTGTTTCTGCCTTGAGCAACTCTCAGATTGATTAATAGTTCCAGGAGGTGTTGTAATGAAATCACCTTATCATGAACATAAATATGGTGGATTTTGGAGCTGGGGCTCACCTTGAGCAGCCTTCAAAGGTGATCAGTCTTGCAGTGCTTTTTTCCATCATTCCTTGTGCAGCCCAGAGAGGGGATGGAGCTGGGGCTCCCATCTGCTCTGCTTCCTTGGGGCTTGCTGCTCAGTGGGAAGAAAACCTCGCGTGGCTGAGAGGTTTTGCTGGACAATCAGTGCCTTCCTTGGTGTCTCAGTGGATCCAGGGACCTTCTCCTCCCCATCCCACAGGGAACAGCTCATTGCTGATGAGCAGCCACCATTTCCCTGAGTGAAAACAAAACGGGGCTTTTTTATAGCGAGCTCTTGTCAAAGATGAAAAAAATAAGACTTTTTTATGGCGAGCTCTTGTCAAAGATGAAAAAATATCAGATGTGTTTTTGCACCTCTGGGATTTACCAGGGTAGGGAGAGACCATAAAAGGCTTAGAAGGAAGTTGGGATATCGACAGAGCAGGAAGCAAAAGACCAAAGTTTTATGAGGACCAAAGCTTAAAGCTTTCCAACCTTAATTCTATGGAAATAAACACTCCTACCTTTGGAAGTTGTTGGGTTATTGGGTCGCCCCTGGCTCAGGGGTGAGTTTCTAACTGAGTTTTTCTACAGAAAAGCACTTTATTGAGGGACTGGAGCAGCTGGATGGACTCTCACCCTGTGAGCAGTCTGCTTACAATTGTCACAAACCACTGGAAACTACTGGAGATCTCAAATACTGTATTTTTGTAGTGAAGAGCAGTTTAATATATTCGCATGGAGATGTAAACATTTATTAGGAAAAAAAATTCCAAAAAAATGCTGTTAATGACATTTTTATTGCTGTAAACTGACCTGCTACCAAAGTCTGGAGCTTTTCTGGCAGATCTGTCCCTCACGGGCAGCCTGACCTTGAACAAGCCCTAAGAGCTGAGAGTCTTCCAAGACTTCAGGTACTTTTTTTTTCTCATTTTAGTGTTATTTGAGCAGTGAGGGGGTTCTCTCTTTTCTGCTGTCCCCTCTGCTGTGAATGAAGGGTCCAAAACGCAGGTGGCCTTAGTGGTGGAGGTTTAGTTCTGAGTTTAGGTGCTGGTTGGCCTTGCAGAAACTGCTGCTACTTCTTGTGCCTTCTCGAGGGGAGGAAGATGAAGGATTGATTTGTTTCCTCCTCGCGCCTCGGTGGATCTCTGCACAGAGCATCCTGTACCTCACTGATAAATTTGTATTTTAGACTTTATTCCGCAGCTTTCTGATGCTCTGGCTCMGAGAGGAAACCCCGCTGTGCCTTGGAATGGTGCCTCAGTGGGTCAGAAACTCTCCCTGGTGTTCCTGGWGGCTGTGAGTGGCACAGGGAGCAGCACTGGGCTCCTTCCAGTCCCTGGATTTTGCAGCACCTCGTGTGTGATGATTCTGGAGTTCATGGAGCTCCCATTCCTGCTGGGAGAGCGCCCTGCACACAACCAAAGCAATAATATCTGCTCTTAGCAGAGAGGAAGCCGTGAAACTCCTAAACCTCTCCCCTGGTGGCATTTTTTTGGCATTTCCAGCCGTGTTTGTCGGGATGGATCTTGCCCTGGGATCATTCTCTGGGGTGGCT